CGGGCAAGGCCTCCTGCGGGCCCCGGGGCCGCAGCCGAGCAGGAAGCGCAGAGACGCCCAGCCTGACGCTGCCGCGCGGCCTGACACCAAGCTCTGCTTCTGGGGCAAGGAGGGCGCCAAGGCGTGAATGCCGGCAGCAGGGACCAGGCTCCGGTGCCACCTGCCTGTGGGCCCGTGCCCGGGGAAGGCCGTGGGGCGCGGAGCCAGCGCTGCACTCAGCGCCCGGGCGTGCTGCGAGCAGGAGTCTGCACTGATGGGAGCAGGGTTTGGCTGAAGAGCAAGATGGCTGCTGGGCCCAGGTCAGGCCCCCGGGACAAGGGCAGCCCGTGCCTGCCCGTGGGAGCTGCGCTGGGGGATAACTGACCATGCTTGTCGGACGTGCCCGCAGCTCTGCCCAGGCAGGCGCCAGGCACGTGGGGGGCGGTGCCAACGCCAGTCAGGCAGGCACTGACTGCACAGCCCATGATGCCTGGTGCAAGCAGGGGCCTGAGCCTCCCAGCCTTGCATGTGGCCTTGGCTTCCCCACCGCGCAACACACACCTGTCACCCCTGGCTGCCGTGTTCCCCATGTGCTGCAGGAGCTGCCTGGAGCAGAGGCAGGAAAGCCCTGACCACGCCAACCTTGCAGCCCTTTCTTCCCTGTGACCCCATGGCCCTTCTGCCTCGGCCCCAGCTTCTTCCGCTGCCTTCTGGGCAGACACAAGGCCACACCTGGGCAGAAGCAGGCCCTGCGTGGGGCCCGAGCCCGGCTCTCTGCGTCCACGGGACAGGCAACACCTTCCCTCCTAGCACCCCCGTTCTGCTCAGTCCACCCCCACCCAGGGACACGGTCCTGAAGCCCAGGGACACGTTATCCCATCAACACTTTGCTTCTAGGAATGGCTGTGGTTGCTTGTCCCTACCCCTACCCCTACCCCTCTCCTGCCAAGCTTCGGGTGCCAAAGGGAACCGTGCCATTTAGCCTGTCACTGCAGCCTGCACAGCTGACCCCATCGCAGCTGATAGCAAAGCACCTGCTGCTCCAGGGGGAGCTGCTCAGCCCCAGAGCGTCCTGGGGATGCAGCGTGTCTGTGACCAGTTAACAGAAAGGTGCCTTGATCGCCATGCTGTTACAGCCGTGGCTGTAGCGGTGGGGCCAGCATCCCAAAGGGTGCTCTGCTGCCCCGTCCCCAGAAAGCCAAGTGCAAGGCAGCAGCACACTGCTGCAGAGCGGAGACCAGTACTCAGAGCGCACAGACTAGGACGCAGCAAGGCTCAACCTTTCCTGTGCAAAACCAGCGCATGCACACACACACACACACCAGGGGCAGCCAGGCCAAGGCACCTGGCACACCAGAAAAAGAGGCAGGGACAGGCAAGCACACGGAGACAAACCTCTCTTCGGAAGCGAGTGGGGAGGATATCTGCTAATTGCTAGAAGAAAATGAAGACAGGCGATTAGGAGAGTCTCTCAGCCCCTGGTCCCACGCCACAGCCCAGAAGCAGCTGTTAGCCAAGCGGAGGCTGTTAGGGGGAGCACGCTGCTAGAGGCAGCCGCCCAGTGCAAGATCCCATCACAGGGCTCTTGCTTCAACGGGCTCAGGCCACTGGCTCCGAGGCCCCTGGAGCAGCGCACGGGCCAGTGGCTGGTAGGGGCCAGTGTCCTCACATGGTGACAGGATGCTGAAGCCAGCTCTGCGCACGGGCCCCAGTACTGCACTGCGCGCAGGGTGAGCTGCCATCAACAGTCCAAGTGCCCGGATGGTCACCCCCGCTCTTTTGTGCCCAGACGCCCCTGCTGCACCCTCAAGCAGCTGCCCTAATGAGAAGGGCAAATCTGGGGTCCGGCAGAACCGCAGCTCCATGCAGCACAGCAGGGACCTGCCCCCGGGACGCTGGAGCAGGGGTGCGGCTGGCCAGGTGCATCTCTCCTGGAGGTCGTGCTCCTGGCCTGACAACAGTGGCAGCTTGCACAACCACAGCAACGCTGCCAGGAGGCTCTATGCACCTCGCATACTGTCCCCAGGACACAGGGTCCCCCACAAGCTGTCTGCCTGTCTTGTCCTGCCAGCAGCGGCTCCACACTGCAGCTTGGGGTGCAGCAGCTGGGTGCGCCATGGGCTCTGCCTGCTTAGCTTCGCTCCCCAGCCCTCCTTGCAGCACCATGCATGGCTCCTTCCCATGGCAGCCTTTGCAGCCCTTCCGTTTGGCTGGAGAAAGAACCACTTGGCACTCGGGCCTGGCACACGGACGCGGCTGGCAACCCTGGCTGAGCTGTGCGGTGGCAGAGGGGAGCACTTGGGCTCAGGCCTGCTGTGCTTGGCAGGCTGAGGCCAGAAGGACATGGCTGTTCAGCTCCGGATGATAGGGATGGAAGAGCTGGGAGCACCTGGCAGGGGCTTGCTCCCTGGGACAGCCCTGTGGCCTGCAGCCAGAAAGGGGAGCTTGGCCAGGCACTTTGTGCCCTCAGTCCTGGGTTAGCTGAGGCCAGCAGCAATGGCTAGGAGCTGCTGGAGCCCTCTGCCCAGCTCTCTCATGCAGCCCCTTTGTGTCCTGCCTGTGCCTCATGCTCCATCCCCAAGACGGGGCAGGGGTTCAGTCCTGACCCGGCTTGCTGCGGGAGCTGGAGGGCCCTGCTGTTAGCACCATCACAGCATGGGTTAGGGAGTACCCGGCAGCCAAGGGTTAACGGGCGCGGGGCGAGAGCCTTGTTAGTGCCAGTGCAGCCCGCGGGTGGTAGCGCGGGTGGATACGTACATTCGCTAGGCTGAGGTTGAAAAGTCCTTTCTGGTTAGGGGAGGAGAAAAAGGAGAAAGAGACAGAGCTGGGGAGTCTGGCGCCGTCGTGCCGTCCAGCCCGCCCCTCTTCCCCAACTGCCCCAGGCTGCCCTGGGCACTGTGCCGCAGGACCCAAGCATCCTGGGCCAGGTCAGCGAGGTGCCACGTGGTGCTCCACCGCCCTGCCCTTGTCCTCAGGCTAGGCCGGGCCCCCACAACGCGTCAGCATCTGGCAGCCCCTTCGCCCAGTAACATGGCAGCTCGTATGCCCTTTGGCAGCAAGGGGGCAGGGTCCTCCCAGGACCAGCAAGAGTCGCCCTCTGGCTTCCCCTCAGCAGCACCCGGCACAAGGCAGGAGGTCAGTGACAGGAGCAACCGGCAAGCTCCGGGCAACGCAGAGGCCGCTTCTGGCACCTGGGTCGGGGGAGCACAGGCTAGGCTCCCGCACGTGGCTCTGCCTGGCTCGTGGCCCGGGCCCCACGCGCCGCAGAGGACTCCATAGGGCCCTGCGCTGCCCCGCCCCCCCTGGCTCTGGGCTGCAATGCAACAAAGCTTCATCCCCAGCCCTACACCGTGGTCTTGCTGTGTCTGCCCAGCACCACAGGGTGCCCGCACCTCAGTGCCCTGCAGGACAGCACCATGCAACCTGCCTGAGCCCAGCCCGCGCCGAGGGCAGGACCCAGCCTCACCTTAGCAGCGCTGCGGAGATGGTCGTAATAAACCTCCTCTATGGCTTGGAAATAGATCACTCCCTTGAGCTTCGTCTCGTGTTTGTCTGCACAGGAGAGACGGGAGGGGCCCGGTCAGCACTGGGCTTCACAGGCCGCAGGAGAGGGAGCGCCCCACCGGGCCTGCGCATCCCCACGCAGGAGCCAGCGCCAGGGCTCGGGCTGCCGCATGCCCACAGGGCAGGGAGGGGCGGACTGAGGTGCGGGCGGTGGATGGGGCTCTTACCAACGTAGTAGGAAACTGTGCGCTTCATGCGGTCGAAGACGAACCAGCGCTTCTTCCAGGACTTGATCTTGCCGCCCATCTTAACCAGGTAGCCCTTGCACATCTTCTCACTCAGGATGACATGGCAGCACGTGTCCACGCTGTGGCCCGAGGACTCGATGTGCAGCTTCAGGTCAAAGTCCTCCTTGCGAATGGGCAGGTACCTGGTGAGGGGCCGTGCCTGGGGAAGCAGCACCGCCTGGTGAGGACCAGCTCAGTCCATGCAGCAAGCACCCCTGGGGCCACACAGACTCCAGCTCCAGCCTTCGGGGACCACCAGTGTGGCAGGCTCTGCTCTGCTGGGCACCCAGAGCCAGGGATGTCTGGACCTGTCCCAGCCTCCCCTTCTCCCCCACACACGGCAGCCCAGACTTGCACCTCCACGTGGCCCCAGCCTCCCTGGATCTTCTGTGCTCAGCTTCACCTGAGACGGCAGCAGAGCAGGCCAGAGGACTGGGCCACGCGGCTGCGTCTGCAGGCTGGGCCAGAGCCATGCTGGGGCCTCCCCGCCCGCGGCGGCGGCAGGCGGGCCCAGAGCCAGGCTGGGCCCCCCCCGCCTGCCCAGCCTCACCTGGGAAAAGTGCTTCTCCCGCATCTTGACCTCCTTCTCAACCAGCTTCTGCCGCTGGGCCGTCTCATCCTGCAGCCGCCGCTCCAGCTGCTCCCGCCGCCTCCGCTCGTCCTCCAGGGCCTGTCGCCGCAGCTCCATCTCCCGCTCCTGCAGAGACAGCCACAGGCTCAGCCCATGCTGCGCTGCTGCTGGGCATGGCCGCTGGCTCCCAGCATGTGTGCATGTGCAGGGGCCTGCCCCATGGCGTGTCACCACACTGTGCAGGCGCAGCAGGGCTGCGTGGAGCACACCCGCCCTGCCAAGGCACGGAGCCCCACTCACCCGTGACTCCATGAGGCGGGACTTCTCCGCGTGGGCCTCCTTCAGCATCTTCTCCATCTCCTCGATCTTCCCCACCTCCATGCCGCTGGCACTGCAAGGCAAAGCCGGTGCCATGGGTTCTGGCCAGGAGCCCAGCAGCTCCACAGGGCTGGGAACCACTCCAACAGCCAGCAGCATCCTGGGCACAGGCTGAGCAGCCAGGCCAGGTGAGCCCATGCCCAGGGCTCAGAGCCAAGGGAGCAGGTCTGCATGTGTCCCTCCCTGACCTGGGCTCCCCAGGACAAGCAGACAGCAGCTTCTGCTGTGAGAGAACAGCCCCAGCTGCATTCAGAGACTAGGACCCCAAACCTGCCTGCCCCCCCACCTGTCCTTCTGGGAATGAAGGCATCCCAGAGAGCTGACAGCGTGCAGGGAGCGCCCAGGCCTCTGACACCCTCCTGCGAGTCCTGGTCTTATTGCTGATGGATGGAGGACAGGACCCTGCCCCATGTGCCCTCTCCCCAGGGCAGCACAGGCGCCAGAGAGTCCATCCAGGGAAATTCCCTTCATTCAAGCAGAGCCAGGACCTGCCGCAGGCCGGGCCATGCTGCAGCACCGGCACTGGGCACATTCTCTGGCGCCCTCGGTTTGCAGCCTTAGAATCACTAGAGATGCGCCCCTGCCCCGGGGCTTTCCCAGGCCTGCCCCACGCTGCCCTCCCATGCAGACGCTGGGACGTTTCAGAGTCCATCAGCCCGGGGTCACTGCCAGCACTGCTGGGGGTGACTGCCATCAAGGCTCCCAGGCATCGTGCCAGCCAGGGCCACCAGCACTGGCACCTGGAGCCCTGCACCTCTGCGTGCATGCCCAGCTGGGCCCAGAAGCTGGGCAGACATGGGCACCGGCACCCTCCCAGAGCAGGTGTGGGCGGACAGTGCTGCTTGTGCGTAGCGTCCCTTGCTGCACTGGGGGATCCCACCCTGTTAGGCTCATTCTCATGCTCCCAAGGCCCTGAGTTTCAGCCAAGGCCTCTTTCCAATGTCTCCTGCCTTGGCAGCTGCGAGACCTGCCTCTCCCAGCCCAAGCACTCATGTCTTTTCCAAGGACAGCAGCAGCTTGGGCAGTCCCCTGCTCCCAGAGGTGCTGGGCTGGGCCAGGCTCTGCAGGCCTGCTGGCCACTGCAGAGCAACCCAGACAGCCCTGAGCAGCAGCATGTGTAGAGCAGAGCGTGGTGGTGCACGTGGGATGGAGGATGGAAGCGGCTGGGATGAGGTGTCAAAGATGCTCAGAGATGGCTGCCCCCGCCTGACTGGCACCGGCACTTCGTGAGCAACAGCCAGAGCCAGCGGCAGACAGCAAGCCTGGACAGGCACAGCCTGCCAACGCCTCGGTCTGCAGGGGCTGGGAGGGAGTGGAATCCCCGGCTGTGTGTGGACACTGCTCCAGGGCCAGCTGCGGTGCGACAGGGCAAGGGGGTCCCGGGCTCGCCTAGTGCCAAGCGGCTGCCCCTGGCCACAGGGACCCCTCTCCTGCACAGGGCTGCCACTTGGGGCAGGGTGGGGCAGGCCCGGGTTACCTGGACATGTTATCGGGTGAGCAGGCTGAGTTGTTGCCAGTGGAGACGCTGGTTTCCAGGCTGTCCGAGCTCTCCAGGCTGAGCGTGTCGTAGGCATGGTCGGGGTCCTCAGCCCGGGGCCCGAGGCCGTGCGGGGGGTGGTGATGGAGGATGGAGTGATGCATGAACGGAGGGTAGGAGGGTGGGGGGAAGTGGGGCGGCCCGTGCAGGGCTTCCCACTGGGACTGCGCCTCAGCTGCCGCTTTCTGCTTCAGCTCCGCCAGGCGCCGCTTCTGCTCCTCTATCACCTGCTGACCTGCAGCTCCGGGGAACAAGAACAGAGGGCAGGTCACCGGGGAGGGCAGCACCGGGAGCGCCACGGCACAGCACAGGGGGCTGCAGCATCTGCGACTCCATGTTCAGTCGTGCGGGGCAGGATCAGCAGCGTAGGGAGTGCATGGCCGGGCAGCACCTCCCGCCTGGGTGAGTCCTGTGGCAGCACCGTCCAGCAGGGCACGGCCGGCCTCCATCCTGGTGCCATCCTCAATCCTGCCGATCTGTGCATGTGTGCGTGCATGAGAGGCGGCTGCCAGCCAGAGTGCCTGTCCCTGATCTAGCACGGGAGTCTGTCTGTGCCCCATCTGTCTGTCTGTCCATCCACCCGGCAGGGCAGCCGCAGTGGCACGCGCCACTCCCCGCCAGGGCTCGACCCCCTCCTGCAGCCCCACCCGGGAGGTGCCCCCTCCCCTGGCCTGGCCGGAGCGCTGCAGTTAGTGGAGTGAGTGCGATGGAGGCGGATGAGATGGGAGCTGCGGTTATGACCAGGTGCGGAAGCAAGGCAAGTCCCCTGCTGCGTGTCAGGGACGCACATCATGGCCTGGTCCCAGCTTGTGCTCCCAGCCTGGGCCAGGCTGGTCTGTCTGATGGTGCTGAGCACTGGCAGAGCACACTGGCCCCGTGCCACTGGAGCCCAGCTCTTCCCAGCAGAGACCCTGCCTTTCCAGGCAGTCCCCCACCCCAGATGCACACGCAGTCACAGTGCCCTTCCAGGACCACAGCTTGCAGCAGCCACCCCGGGGCAGCTCTGCCTGCAGAGACGTGAGGAGTGGGGACAGCAGGGAGGTGCATGCGTCAGTCTGGCGGGTGCAGAGCTGGGCAAAGCAGTCACGGTGGGAGCAGCCTAATGCCGGGTTTGCCAGCCCCATGCTCCTTGTGCTCCGAGTTAGCAGGGGCCCCGTAGGCCTGGGAGACGGAGGGCTGCCAGGAGGCACACGGACAAAGCCAAGGTCCTGCAAGGGCTCCAGCACATGCTGGGGCAGGAGAGGGGACAGGCCTGAGCAAGGCAGGGGCATGGGATGCACTGGGCTCCTTCAGGCCCGCCTCTAGCATGGGGAAGCCGGGGCTACAGGAGCAAGGCTGCTGGCCTGAAGAGCACCAGCCCCAAATGCGCAGGGGCCAGCTAAGGCATCCCTCCAGCCCCGGCACACAGCACAGGGCAGCTCAGCACAGGGACAGCACACACTTGCACACATGGACGCAGCCAGGCCCAGGCTGGCTGTGCCCCCTTGGCAGAGGGTATCAGGTGCCTTCAAGGAACAGCCAGCCATGCCGCTGCCCGGGCGCATCTGGGAGGCCAAGCCTTTCCAGGTGTCTACCTGAGACATCGTCTGGCTGCAAGGGCTCCGCGGGGAGCGAGCCGGCTGGAGACGCACCGCGCCGTCAGGTGGAGAGAAGGGAGAAGCGAGAGACTGTGAGAGAGGCACTGCCCACCCTGACGGGGTCGGGAGACAAGCGGAGCAGGGGCTAGTAGCGCTGCCCCTGGGACCTGGCCTCACAGCCCTTCCACTAGCTCAGAAGAGCCCCCGTGCACGCCACGCCACGCCACACCACAATGGTTGGGCAGACTGGCAACGGCAGCCCTGTTGTGGCAGCAGGAAGCCTGGCCTTGGGGCCCTGGGCAGAGCCACGGCCTCTCCTGCCGAGCACGGGGCCGACGGTGCCCAGCGCAGCTGAACTGCAGCATCAGTGGGAAACCCCTCCTGCCACACGCCCAGCCCTGGCCACGGCCCCAGTCCTATCCCCAGCCCTCCTAGGATCCCCTGGCCGGGTCAGCTACTCCGAGGGCACCCGGCCTGTTTGCAGGCCTGCCCTGGGCCTCCCCCTTGCTCCTCAGCCCCACTGGCAGGGGCCAGGTGGGGTTCAGAGCATGCTGGACACAGGCCCGGGCCCCAGCAGGGCTTGGGCACACGGGGCAGAGCTGAGCGCATCCCAGGGCCACCGACACCCAGCCCGAGGCCGGCTGGGGGCAGGAAGGGCTACAGCCCCGCAGGGATCACTGTGGATCGTGTGCATCTCCTCCTCCCCCAGCCCCAGAGCAGTGCCGAGGAGCACGCAGTGCTCAGGCTGAGGGGGCTGGGGCTGCAGCGCTTGGCCTGCCCGGACCCCCCGGCCCTGCTCCTGCTGCACCAGCTGTGCAAGCACACAGGGACCCGGGGCCAAGCTCATGCCCTTCAGGAAGGTGGAGCCGTGCCCAGCCCTGGTGAGGGGCTGTCTGCACTCCACTCGAGGGTGGGGGGTGCCCATTGTGGCAGAGGAAAGGGGATGGAGTGCCTGGGGCTCGCAGGAGGGACATGCCAAGGGCCAGTTGGGCCGAGCGCTGGGGACAGGCGGGGCCCCTGCCGCCCCACAAGGAAGCAGGTTCCAGCCCCAGCCCGGCCGTGGTGTCGCTTGAGTGCTCCCTGGGCAGGGTGCCCAGGCTTGGGTGCAGGCACTCACCCTTCTGCTGCAGCGCCCGCTGGCGCTTGGCCTCGATGTCCTGCAGCGTGGCTGCCAGGTTGCGGGGCAGGCTTCCCGTGCTGTTCTGTGGGTGCAGGGGGCCCTGGGGGCGAGAGGCAGGATGAGGATGCCCTGCCTGACCCACCCCAGGCCTCTGGCTTGCCCTGCCCACAAGGCCATGACCATGGTTTGGGGCAGAGCAGACCCACTGGCAGAGGTTGCCAGGGGGGGACAGGGCCTCAGGTCCCACCGGCTGCCCGAGAGTCCCAGGGCAGCTCCCAAAGCAACGGGCCAGACCACGTGCTGTGAGGAGGGCAAGACTGAGCCAGTGCTTCCTGTGTCCCCCACACGCCAGCCCCCAGCCAGTACCTTTGGCGAGGAGCTGCGTCCCAGCGTGGCCACGCTGAGCTGGGAGGATGACGGGGCCCCAACCCTGGCACATGGGAGCGAGCTGCTGCTGTCGCTGTCCAGCTTGGCACGATAGACCTGGGCAGGAAACACTGCGACTCAGATGGGTACTGGAGGACAGGGCACAGGCCCTGGCACCTGCTCACCAGTGAGGGCCCCCCCAGCATCCTTGTGATGACAGCTTCATGGCATGGGAGCCTCCCCATCCCGCGGAGAATGCCAGGGCTGCGGTGGACTGTCGGGCGCTGGGTTGAGCAGGAGCTGGCCGAGGGGACAGGCCTGGAGCCAGCGCTGTGCCCAGGTGTGTGGGGCACGCGGCAGCTCCATCGGCCCCAGCGGCAGGAGCACAGGCACGGCAGCCTTCCCCTCCTGCCTCGCACTGCCTCATGAGGCCTGGCCCATCCAAGTGGACCAGCTGCTGCACACGCCTGCTCCAGGCAGACCCAGTCCCCACGGCTGAGCGTGGGCACAGCAGCCTTTGGCTGCCTCACACTCCCCTCTCTAATGGGGCCTTTATCCCTGGCAAGTGGCCTGGAGCTGCCGCGGTCCGAGCCAAGGGGGTCTGCACCACTGCAGGGGAGGAGCTGGTCGATCCCCTGGCTGAGCCCATGGAGAGCGATGGAGTGCAGAGGTGCCCAGCAAGCAGGTGGAGAGTCACGGAGGAGCTGGTCACCTCTGTACCAACCACAACCACCAGCTCCCGCCAGCGCACGTGCGAGCCAGCCCTGCCTTCAGGCGCATGCACCCTCACACAGGACCCCGCACAGGTTCCAGCCGTGGCTGCGCGCTCTCGCTCCCCAGCAGGGCTCGCCCAGATGCCAGCCCTGGTGCTGGAGTCACAAGTAGCTCCAGGCTCAGACGAGACGAGCCTGGGGCTCCACTGGCAGGAGCCAGCTTGCCAAGGCACCCAGCAGATGCCAGAGGAGTCTGCGACATGGCACGGAGAAGCCTCGCCCCGGAGCAGGCACAGCTGAGCCAGGTGACAGGTGTGCCGGGCTGGGCCGGGCACCAGGAGATCCAAGCCACGACCCCAGCCGGAGTGTTCCCGGTCCGAGAGAGCCAACCGCAAATGTCCTTAGGGCTTGGCCCCTGGGGCCATCTCCTTTCCATCCCGCCACCCCTGCAGAGACTCAGGCCTCCCTAGCTCGTAGTCTGACAGCACTGCCCTGGCCCTGGCCTTGCCCCACAGGGAGTTACCTGGAGCGGCTTTCGAGAGGAGTGAGCTTTAGCAGGAAGAGGAGGAGGGGAGGAGGGAGGAGAGGCAGGGGAGGAGGCCTCCATGCCAGCCATGACCTCCTCGTACCACTTCTCTAAATCGAGGGCCGGGAGCTGCCCCGGGCTCCCTGCAAGCTGCTTCTTCATCTGAAGAGAGAGGGGGCAGGAGACAGAAGACAGGACAGAGGGTGGAACAGCAGGGGCAGAGACGCAGACAGAGAGAATGAAAACCAGCAGAGCCCTGCCCCAGCCCAGCCCTCCCCACACGCGACAGGACCAGTGCTGCCTGGGGCCGCCCGAGCCAGCCCATCCCATCCCGTCCCATCCCGCTGCACAGGAACCATTGTCTGTCACCAGTCCCTGGCCTGGCGCTTCACTCTGCCAGGACAGCTCCAGGCGCCAGGCCCCATGGCCCTCACACCGAGCTGGAGCAGGCACGTGCTGGGGAAGCAGCAGCTGTGATGCTCGATGCTCAGCCCAAGCCGCCCCGTTCAGGTCTCGCCAACTGACAGGGCTGGGCCCAGGGCCCGCGGCTCCATCTGACAGGTGTGGGGAGCGTTGCCAGAGCAGGCAACGGCGCAACGCTAACACTGCAAGGCTGCAGCAAAGCCAGCGAGCAGCACCGGGGGGCTGCGGGGCTGGCTGGCCCGCGTGCTCTCCAGGAGCTGGAAGTGTCACAACCTAATGGGCTCAAAGCAGGGGCACGAGATCCACCCTTGGCACCATCAGAGCTTCCTCTCGGGTGCCATGAGCCCCGATGCCTGCCAGCAGCTGCTGTTCCCCACAGAGAGCCCAGAGTGGAGGGACAAGGGGGGGGGGGGCACAGACACAAACCTCTGCAGAGATGGAGGAGGAGCAGAGAGGCAGCGCAGGAGGAGGAAGGCAGCCTGCAGGTGAAGCAGCTCGAGGGGCGCAGCTGGCAGGGTGGCAGCCCGGGGTGGGAGCAGGAGGGGCCAGCACTGGGTTGGCCCTGGCGCTGCCCAGGATCCCCGAGAGCTGCTCAATGGTCACGTACTGGGCAGAGAGGAGAAGCAGATAAACGCCGAGGCTGGGGCAATGGGGGCCCGGCCGGCAAGGACAGTGGCCATCCTGGGGGCATTTCACTTTCTCGTGGAGGTCACGGAGCCCATGTAACTGGCTAGCATCCCTTGCCCACCCGCCACCTGGCAGTGTGGACCCACAGGTACACAGCTGCACGGCCTGGGCCTGCCCTTGTTGGTTATTTGTATTGACTTGGGGGACCCCTTACTGCTGCCAAGAGGGGTGGAGAGAGGCCAGGACAAATGGAGTTGGCACTTCATGTGGTTCTGAGGAGCCACCTCTGTGCTCTGCAGCCCTGGCGCGGGGCTCCCTGCCTGATGGCATCCCACCACCCGTCCCCACTGAGCTTGGGCTGCTCCCATGTGCCTTGCCCCAGGATGCAGCCCCCAGCCCACCCAAAGGACTGCAGCCCCCAGAAGCAAGCAACTGAGACATTAACTTATTTCACATCAGCTCCTCTGTCCCCAGGCCCCAAGGCTGCTGCCCAAGAGACTGCAGGCCCCGTTGTAAAGGGGAGCAGAGGAGATGAAGCTGCTGCAGCCACCATCAGTGCAAGGGAGAGTCTTCCCCGAGCCCAGACCAATGTGTAGCCAGGGGAGCACAGGGAGGGGGAGTGCCAGGCATTGCCTTCCCTGGACCGGTCAGGCTCACCCTAGAGGGTAGCGACCCTGGGAGCTGCTCAGGCAGAGCAAGCCAGGGGCTGGGGGTTCGCAAGCACAAGAGCATGCTCGGAGCAGGTACCTCGGTGGCCACGGGAGGTACCGCAAGCAAGAGCGCACGGCACGCAGCAGCAGGGGCAGCAGCGGAAGCTTTAGTATCCAGGCCAGGGCCGTACACGGTGCTGCAGAACCTGAAAACGTCAGACAGCCTCATGTACTCCTGGAGAGCCGCGGCAGAGAAGGAGGAGCAAAGTTAGACACAGGCCAGCGAACACCAACAGCCCTGCGCGCCACCAGCCCCTTGCCTCAGGTGTCCCATGAGCCCAGCTGGACTCCCTGCCATATCCCCCTTCCTGGCCTCTGGCCGGGGAAATCCCCAGCCTGCCACCCCACATGCAGCCAAAGAGGTCTACACTGCAGACTCAGACCACAGCAGAGTCCTGCCAGCAGCCAGGGTGCCCCAGGGAAGGGCAGGGCAGGGCACAGCCTGGGCACCGGACCGGGAGTCTCTGTTGGCCCCACTGCTGTCTGCCCGGCTCTGTCTCAGCTGCAGCCCCTGGCAGGGCACAGTCCAAATACCCATGGGCGGGTGCTCCCCGCCTGCCCTACCATTGCACAGGGCATTTGGCCTTTGTGCTGCTGCCACTGCTATCTCCGCTGGCTGGGGCGGAAGGGTCCCCGAGTCAGGCCACCTCCCCCAAGTCCAGCCTCCAGGTCCAGCTGCTCCTGCAGCACCGAGGCCTGTGCCAACGGCCCCAGGGCCGCCCTCCCTTGCTGGGTGCAATGCAAGGGAAGGCAGCTTGAGACCAGGCGCCCGCCGCTCCTCTGGCATCTGAACACAGCTCAGTTAGTGCCAGGCTGGCTGCCCAGCAGCACGTTCACCGGGAATGCAGGGAAGAGGGAACCCCAGACAGTGCACGGCCACCTGTACACACCAAACTCGATGCCGCCCCCAGGAGCACCCAACACCTGCCACGGGGAGGCAGCAGCAGCAGGGAGCTCTGGGGAGCCTGGCCACAGAGCCGCTCCTACAGCCAGCTCTTCAGACCCAAACCCTGGGGGCACTGGCATGCTGACCCCAGGAGTGTCTGGCTCCCTGCTGACATGTGGGCTGGCTGCAGCATTAGGCATCTGCTGCCCAGTGTCACGAGGGAAGAGGTTTGCCAAAGAACCAGGCTGGCACTGGCAGAAGCCTGCCAGCGAGCATTCCAGCCGTGCTGGCCAGCCTGTGCAGACAGTGCCATGCGGCGCCCCCGTCACAGCCCTTACGAGATTTTCAGAGAAGCAGAAGCGGACAGGAGGCTGGCGGGGAGCATGCAGGGGTGGGAAGCAGGCCCAAGGCACTTGCAAGGGAACAGCCTGTGGGACGCACGGCCAGCTCTGTGCAGCGGGCTCGCAGCAGGGAACAGGGCAAAGCACAGCTGCAAAGGAGAGGAGAGGAAGGCGCAGCTGGGCAGGTCGGGGAGCAGCTGCAGCCAGAAGCCACTGGGCCTGTCTGTGTTGCAGCCCAGGAGCTCTGAGGGTGCAGGGGAATTACTGGCTTGTTAGAGCAGAAATGCCCCTGGAGAGGACCACATCTGTGCCTGGCTGCAGGGCCTGTGAACCCGAGGCAGCACGAGCCCACGGAGGGGAAGGGGCAGCCTGCCTGGCCCTGGACAAGCAGGAGCGGGCAGCAGCCTGGCACTGCTGTGTGCAGGCAGCGGGGCCGCGAGCGAGCAAGCACGTGCAGTTAGTCCCGTTACCTCTTGCATCGTGGGGCAGGAGCGGGCAGAGGAAGCAGCAGCTGGGGAAGCAGCGGCTCCGGGCAGGGGGGGCTGGGGCTGAGCTTCCTCCAGCAGGTCATAGTGCTCTGAGATATGAAGCGTGTCCTGCTGGAGGGCAAAGGTCATGAGGGCAAAGTGGACACACGCATCGTAAGACCCAAACAGCCCCAAGAGCCCCTTCCCTTCCACGGTGCCGCAGAGACCAAGTGGCGATGCAGCCTAGGGGAAGGCGCCAGTAGCTGGCCAGCCCCTGGGCCAGGGCACCCAGCACACAGCCTGCTGTGATGGGGACCCCCGGGGAAAAGCACATGCTGCAGTCATGAGTGCCCCGCTGGCTGGGCACCCCTCGACCCAGGGGGCCCAACTGTCCACAGCAAGGAGCCAAAGGGCCCAAGTTCCCTGCAGCACAGAGCCGGCTCCTCCACGCGGGCCGGACGGGTCCACGTCAGCCCAGCCTTGGGAGGGACCAGCAAGACGCAGCCCCTGCTGGTGCCTCTGGACGCGTGATCTGCCAGGACCCCGGCACCCGCCAGACAGGCCTGCCGGTCCCCCGGCCCAGGGGCAAGGGCTCACGGCACGTGGTTCTGGCCCAGGTGGGCGCCTGGCATTCAAGATGAGCAAACCTGGCGGCCACACGCGATCTGCTGGCCCAAATCTGCCCTGTGCACACCCGCAAGCTCCCTGAGCCCAGGGGCGCTGGCTGCCTGCCCACAGACCCCACCATGCATGCAGCTTGCCAGGCTGCAGCTTCACTCCCCAGCACCTCCACGAGGCTCCAGCCCCAGCATCGGGCAGGAATCAGCCCCTCATGCCCTGTGGGCAAGGTGGGAGCAGGGCCCAGCTCCAGCTCCGGGCAGACCCACAGGCCAAAGGACAGCCCTGACCAGGGGTTGAACTTGGTTCCAGGTGCTCGCAGTTCCCCCACCTTGGTCATGTGTGGAGCAGGATCCCTGCCGGGAAGGGGTGTGCTGCCCCTGCCACGTCCCCGCACAGCATGTCCCAGCCCGGCGGCCACCAGCCTCAATGCCCGCGGTCACACTGGGCCGAGCACAGCACGCGGCTCTCAGTGGCGTGAGGCGGCCGGTGCCGAGAGGAGCTCCCCCAGTCCCCCGAACCCTGCAGTTACCTCCTTGAGCGCGGATGAGGTCCGGGGGAAGCTCCTGCCACCAGTGACGAGGTGGTAGCGACGCTCGAGGGAGACGAGCTTCTCCTTCTCCTGGACACACCAGCCAGGAAGGGACAGGGACAGATGTCAGCGCTCACCACAGCACCTGTCCCCAAGCCCAGGCAGCCTTGCCCCCCACCCACAGCCCCTCCTGTCAGCGCCCTGCCCTCAGCAGCTGCCGGCAGTCCTGGGCATAGGGCCTGGCCCAGGCACGTGCAGGGCTGGCGGTGGGCAGCGCTAGCGACACACCCGCCAGCTTGGGCTGGTGCATGGCGCTGGGCAGGCCTGGCCCCAGCCCCAGGCGTTACCTTGTGCAGCAGCTGCAGCACGGTGCTCTTCTCAGTGGCCAGGCGCTCTGAGTCCCGCGCGGCCTGCAGCCGGATCTGGCTGGCCTGGCTCTCCAGGGCGGCCACGCGCTCCTGCAGAAGATGGAGCCGGTGAGCGGGCAGCAGGCGCCAGCGTGGAGCAGCAGCGCAGGCCAGAGACCCCCCGCGGGTGGACGTAGGCCAAGGGCCGTTCCTTTGCCCTGCCAGCCCCCGTGCACACCTTTCTCCTGGCCATGCTGCGGTGACACTCGGCCTTGCTCTGCAGCAGCTGCTGGCTCACGGTCTCGCGCTCCTCCTCCAGGCGACTCTCCTTCTCCAGCTGCTGGAACTCCAGGTCCTCGAACACCTTGGTCTGCGTCTCCAGGGCCTCGGCCTCCTTCAAACACAGCGGCAGGGGCTCAGCCCCTGGAGCCCAGCACCCACCTCCCTGCTAGGGACACCACCACGGGGCAGGCCCCGCGGGCGGGCGGGCAGGCAGGTTGAGGGTACCAGTGCCCGGCTCTGCACCAGGAGGGAGGGAGGGAGGCTCCGTGGGCCGCCCACACCTGCGTAGCACCGGGGCAGCACTGAGCACGTCAACTGCTTCCCTGCCCTGCCAGTGCCCACGAGGCTGGGGCACTGCCAGGCAGAGGGGTGAAAGCTGCCCTGGATGTCACCGCCCCCTGCTCTGCCCTCTGCCTAGCCCTACCATCGCACAGGGCACTGCCTGTGTCTTGCTAATGCCACAGCACAAGGAGGGCCTGGGGACGTGGGGGAGCCTGGCTCTGTCCAGTCCAGGCAGCACCAGCTCGACTCAGCTCAGATGGGCACAGACCCAGGGGCAAGGACCCGCCAAGCCTGCAGCGCAGCAAAGTCGCGCGGGCAGCGGGAGCCTGGGGCAGCGCGGCACAGGGAATCCCGGCAAGGGGGCTGGGCAGAGCCAGGGCGACCTGGTGGGAAAAGGCCTGAGCGGAGGGCAAAGTGCAGCCCCTGGGGTAGGGGGCTCGGCGGGGCTGGGGTAGCACCAAGGTGGCCGGCCTGGGCAGCCAGAGGAGCGCGTTGTCCAAGACAGCTGGGACTGGGGGAGTGTGTGCTGGTCAGCCATGGAATCCACCCCAGCCGATCCCGTGGGGGCAGCGAACCCCCAAGGACCCATCAAGTCAGACGCCATTAACCACCACCCTCAAAGCCTCCAGCAACCCCCAGCCCAAGCCAGACCTCGCTCCATCCCTGCACAGCGCCTGCTGGCAGCTGAATCAGAGCCCTGGCCCTGGGCGCAGTGCGCACCGCTGGGAAAGGGCTGGAGGCTGGGCTGGGCACCAAGCCATCAGTGTGCAGAGCCTGGACTGTGGCGCTCAGTCCACTCCTCCCTGGAGTCTGTCAGTGCCTGGCAGGGCCGGCGGCCACCCAGGGTGACGTGTGGGGGCTGTACAAGTGCAGCCGTCATCTTGCAGTGCTCAGCTTACGCCAAGATAACCTGTCGCAGGCCCACGGAGGCACAATGCTCCTGGGGCAGGGCTGAGCCTGGCTTGAAGCCTCTGCCCTGCTCTGCATCACATGCAACAGCACCTCTGGGGCAGGCTGGGTGCACACAGGGCCGCATGTTCCACGCCAGCGGCAGGGGTGCCCCGTCCGCTTGGGCAGCCACGTGCTTCTGCTGAAGCCCCGGGGCTGCTCTGGCCACTGGCCAGGCCTGCAGCACCCATGCACGATGCACGGGCCCCCACACCAGGCAGACCAGGCCAGGCTGCCCTGGCCGAGCGAGGCGAGCAGGGCATGAAACAGCTGCAGGTCCTGCCAGCTGAAGCGCAGTGGCACAGTGCAGGAGCTGGGCTGTGGCCAGGACCTCTGCAGCTGGACTAACGACAGGGCCGTCGCAGGGCCCAAGCCAGGGCGCTCCATCCCCACGCAGACCTTCAGCACCTGCCCTGCTGGATGCTCCCTTCCTGGGCTGCCATGCCCACATGCCCATGCCAAGCACTGGACTTTGCGGCTGGGAATG